TCCTTGTCGTGGGATAGTGTGTATGTGCGTATGTGTGTGTATGCGTGTATATGTACAAATGAGTTTACTAATTCCTTGTAGTAAGACAGTATATGTATGGAGGGGAAATATACGCACGCACATATACACGCATGCTGACAGAAACGTACCAAAATGGAAACAGATCCAAGAACACATAGGGGTCAGTAAAACATTAAAAGATAAAATGCCGATAACTAATTCATCATTTCGCTGGACCAACCTTAATTGTTTTATGACCCTTCGCGCAGAACTCTTCATTGCCAATTCAAGAAAGAAATTCGGATTACTAACACAAAACAGAGAATGTCTCATATCGAGAATATTTAACATTGAACATAAGGAAAAAATTAATTATTTTTAATAATATGTGGAAATCTCCGCCTTTTACCTGAAGACGGTCGCGAGACCAGAAACACGTGTCGTAAAATTATGTAAAAGCATAATATTTTTTCTAAATAAATCCACATTACAACCAAAAACGTTTGCGGCACCTTTCTTCTCTTCTTTTTTAATACATATATATATATATATATATATATATATATATATATATATATATATTATTTTCTTTTTTTTTTTTAATCAGTTTATTTCTTAGGTTTGGTGCATTTAAACCAGTCTGAAGATGAAGTGTAAACCAACTGCTGAAATGAATTTAAATTTATAAGTAAAAAAAATCAAATGTAAGATTTTTCTTTGAAATTTTTCTTAATTATATATATATATATATATATATATATATATATATATATATATGCATGTATGTATGCTTATAAATAAAATCGCGAAGGAAGTTAAATTGGATGATGGCACGTTGAAGACAAAGTTATGAGCGAGATATCTCCCGGTTTGTCCGAATCACATAGGTGATATCCCTGGCAGGGTTTAGAAAGTCAACTAAAATCTAAAACGCAAAACAAAACAAGAATATAAACTGAAACAAAAAGAGTAACTGATAAAGTTTCATATTTTATTTCAGAATTCTACCCATTCTGCTAGTTTATTTCCAGTGAATTGTCTTCCTTTTCTATTTATTAGACCAAAGTATAAAGAATTGAAGTAAACATTTGAAGCTTCTTGTGTACGAATTCTTGCATAAAAATTAATCATGCTGAGTACTGGTCGAAATCATAAGTTACTCATGAAAATTATGCAATATATTCCTACTTAAGATCCTTTAATTAACATCAAGAATCTTTGCAAATCCGACATTTCCCGCTCATCTTGAGAAATTTTAAATAAGAAAAAAATATTTTCAACTAAACATTTTTCGTTTCATAAAACTCTTTTTTAGATTTTAATTTTTCAACATCCATAGTGAAACATTTTTTCATGAAGGAGAATATTACATCTAATGTTATCTTTATAATGTTTAGAGAGAAGACATGATAGGAAAAGAATGAGAATAGTCCAAATATATAACAAACGTAACATTGTATTTCAGAATCAATACACAGCATACAAAGCTTTTATTTTCTGTTAATGTTTTCTTAAGTATAAAACAATGAAAGTTCTGCTTACATAAATCCGGCATGTTGTATCAAAAGGGAGGAACAGACGTAGGCGTGTTTTCTGCTCATTTCTTGGTCTCGAAAAGTGGTTAAGGAGCTTACATCTCCCAGTGAGGCCGCGATTGAACAATACTCTAGACCAGTGGTTTTCAACCTTTTTGCTGGAGCGGAACCACAAGGAAACATTCCAGTGACTCGAGGAACCCCTGCAATAAATTAATTGCCTTATGCAAAAAAAAAAAAAAAAGCTTTCAATTATTAAAATAAAATAAAAATACTCATCTTCAGATTTATTTCCAAAAAAATACAAACTGTAAAAATATTGTATACGTCCATATGCAATTTTAATCTTGCTTCTACGGTTATTACACATGTATTAAAAAAAAAACTTCAGTTTAAATGGATTACATTTATTTTCATTAAAAATTCAATGAGAAACTTGAGCCTGCTGTTTCTTGAACAAATATTTAATATTGGGTCGTGTTTTTCACAGACAGACACGAAGTTCATCTTCCACACATATCTGCAGAGGAGAATTAAAAATTACTGTCAATCATAGTACTTGTGTAACTTGTTGCGGAATCCCTGGGCTTTACTGGCAGAATGCTAGGGTTCCACGGAACCCTGTTTGAAAACCACTGCTCTGGACCAATTTGGAACTCTCACAGATGTAGAGTTCGAATAGTACTGCTACATGTGTGTTCTGACCAGCATATCAGTGTGCGTTAAACTATATATGCATGCATGTGCATGTATGTTAATTCACTAGATCTGTTTTGTTTTTCTAATAAAACAAGTCATCATAAGTTTTTTTAATGTATGAACGTATGCATTATCTCAATAAAGACGTCTTAATGACTAATTAACAAAAAAAGAAAAACGACAAGAAAAATAAAGATACAAACAAAAATGCACAACTCTATTCTTTAATTTTCCGTGAAAAAATTAATACTATTCAGTCCCTTCTTTACTCGGTTGTTCAAAAGCAAAAATGCTCACAGAAAGTGAAATGAAAGACTTTTGTGTACCAGAAGGCTTGTCCGTCGCAATCAAAACGAGGCTGACAGACATGATATTTCGCTGAGTTAAAAGATGGAAGGCATAGACACAATTATTTAACTTGCAATTGTCTGTGGATGTCTAAATGTGTGTCTCTGATTGGGTGAATGCTTGGTTGCGCATTTTTAAATGTTTACTAGATTATGCCCGAAAATAAATTACGTGACAGTTCTCGAGGTAATGTGTGTCTGTGTCACAGAACAAGGGCGACAATTCCATGCTATTTGTCGCAATGTTCTCTTGTGTCATTAAACTACGAGTTTGGTGAATGTTGCAATTAAGACAAAAAGATTTGCTGTCGGCGAATCCCAATTAGCGAGTAGAGGAGACGCACATAGACACACAGGGTAATGTATACAGGCATACGCCACGTAGGAAGATATATATAAACATTTTCAAGCACACTCAATATTGATTTCAACTTTTGGAGTTATAGCATACCACTATATTTTGAAATCTCTGGATAGTATAACGATTATCATCGCCGAAACTAGAATCAATGGGCAGAGTTCAACTTCCGGTTGTTGCTTTTATCTCATTATAATAGACTTGGTAAAGACATGCTACAATAATTTCTTTGATCTCGCTATGAGTTAAATAATAGAAGAGTCTAAAGAGTTAAAAGTAACAGAATATTGTGGGGGTCATTACTTATCGTTTCATATCTGGCTCCCATCTTAGTCAGGGCACGTTCGTAGTGGCGCTTGTAATGACTGAAACCATTACATCACCTTTGTTTGCTAATGTAACTTGTTAAATATAACGCAAATTAGACGTGCATATTTATTTATCCCGTATTTTTCTGGTACAAGGTTACAGTTAGTGGAGAACCCAATGAGGACTGAACGCTATGAACTATGTTGTCGCTCGTCAAGCGAATCTGAGTTGACGAGATGCGGGTGAAAATATGGAGTGAATATTCTCTGCATCGAATAAATATATGTCGAAAACGGATTTTAGTTTAGGGGCAGACGAAATCGTTGAGTAGTGATAACCAGTATAGGTTCTTGCTTATTCTGATATCATTCCTGAATATATCAATGTTGCTGAGCAAAGAAAGGGGCGTAAGGCAAGGAGGCGTCTTCTCACCGGACCTGTTCAACATATACAGCGAGGCAATTCTGAGAGAATTGGAAATCATACCGGGGTTTAGAATTAGTGGCCACCATCTTAGCAACATAAGGTACGAAGATGATAGCAGATACGGAAAAAAATTACAAAATCTCCTACAGAAGGTAGCGACAGAGAGTGAGAAGTAAGGTACTAAGCATAAACTTACAAGAAGACAGAATGCATGCTAATCAGTAAGAGGATGAGCCGGAAATGCGATTTGCAGGCCGGGAAAACTAGAATGAAGCAGGCGTTTAAGTTTAAATATCTGGAAAACGTTCTGACGGAGGGCCGTAAGTGCGACACAGATCCGTAGATGTATTGGGATGGCCAAGGGCGCATTCCAAAAGCCGGGCAGAGTATTGCGAGATAGGAAGATGTTTTTGGTAACAAAGAATACTGAGCTGTTACGTGACATCTGTCCTTATTTACGGCAGCAAATGTTGGACAATTTCCTCAAAGATGAAGAAACTCGAGGCGACGGAGATGTTGTTCTACAGAAGGATGCAAAGAGTATCATGGACCGAGCGTGTGAGCAACGATGAGGTCTTAGAGAGGATGCAAACAAGAGGAGGCTTATACTTAACATCAGGAAGAGGCATCTGTAGTTTCTGGGACACATGATGAGGAAGGAAAGGGCTGGAGAATCTGATACACACGGGTCGAATAGAGGGAAAGAGAGGCAAGAGAAAACAACGCATGACATTCCTAGAGGGCTTAAACAAGTGGATGACAGAACGTGACCTAGGGGAAGAAGCAGAGGGAAGAAACTTGTTGAGAGCTGCAAGGGATAGACGGGGGGATGGAGAGACATAACCGCCTACGTCCTGAAATGACTAGGCACACAAAAAGAAAGAAATGATAATCATTCCTCTGCGGAAGGAACCTGCCTGAATAGTCATATTCTGAAGACTGAAGATTTTATGTTGATTAAAGAACGTTAGATGTGTCAAGTGCCAACACATTTTACCGTATGTCTGTATATATCAATCCAGAAGTGCAAAATAAGAAATTCACCCCCCTCCCCCGGTGGCATATAGATAAGTTCGTTTGGTAGACGATAAGCGCATCTGCATCTCAGATCTGACGATATACACAGAGAGATAAGTCTGATTGTTTTTCTCCTAACCATCGCCATGGATTCCTTGTCCACCGACTGCATATATTATAAACACGGAGACTCAAGAGGAACGATTTTTATTTATTTTTTTTTTTTGGTCTGATGGAAAGTAGCCCGCTTAAGATGGAATTTCCATTTATTATTATTTCAGATTAGTTTTTGACTATCATGATAACAAGTTAAGAGAAATGTTATTCATGCAATCATCATCGAAACAATTATTATCACCATCAAAGTATCTATCTATCTATCTATCTATCTATCTATCTATCTATCTATCTATCTATCTATCTATCTCATACTGTTTATTATCTATCTATTTATCTATCAATTGATCGATAGATCTCATAATTTTGATTATCTATCTATCCCATATTATTCATTATCTATCTATCTATCTATCTATCTATCTATCTATCTATCTATCTATCTATCTATCTATCTATCCCATACTGTTCATTATCTATCTATCTATCTATCTATCTATCTATCTATCTATCTATCTATCTCATACTGTTTATTATCTATCCATTTATCTATCAATCGATCGATAGATCTCATACTGTTGATTATCTATCTATCTATCTATCTATCTATCCATCTATCTATCTCATACTGTTTATTATCTATCCATTTATCTATCAATCGATCGATAGAACTCATACTGTTGACTATCTATTCATCTATCTATCTATCTATCTATCTATCTATCTATCTATCTATCTATCCCATATTATTCACTATCTATCTATCTATCTATCTATCTATCTATCTATCTATCTCATATTGTTTATTATCCATCCATTTATCTATCAATCGATCGATAGAACTCATACTGTTGACTATCTATTATCTATCTATCTATTCATCTATCTATCTATCTATCTATACTGTTCATTACTATCTATTATCTATCTATCTATCTATCTATCTATCTATCTATCTATCTATCTATCTCATATTGTTTATTATCTATCCATTTATCTATCAATCGATCGATAGATCTCATACTGTTGATTATCTATCTATCTATCTATCTATCTATCTATCTATCTATCCCATACTGTTCATTATCTATCATATCTGTTCATTATCTATCTATCTATCTATTCATCTATCTATTCATCTATCTATCTATCTCATACTGTTTATTATCTATCCATTTATCTATCAATCGATCGATAGATCTCATACTGTTGATTATCTATCTATCTATCTATCTATCTATCTATCTATTTATCTATCTCATACTGTTTATTATCTATCCATTTATCTATCAATCGATCGATAGAACTCATACTGTTGACTATCTATCTATCTATCTATCTATCTATCTATCTATCTATCTATCTCATATTGTTTATTATCTATCCATTTATCTATCAATCGATCGATAGAACTCATACTGTTGACTATCTATCTATCTATCTATCTATCTATCTCATACTGTTCATTATCTATCTATCTATCTATCTATCTATCTATCTATCTATCTATCTATCTATCTATCTCATATTGTTTATTATCTATCCATTTATCTATCAATCGATCGATAGATCTCATACTGTTGATTATCTATCTATCTATCTATCTATCTATCTATCTATCTATCTATCTATCTATCTATCTATCTATCTATCCCATACTGTTCATTATCTATCTATCTATCTATCTATCTATCTATCTATCTATCTATCTATCTATCTCATATTGTTTATTATCTATCCATTTATCTATCAATCGATCGATAGATCTCATACTGTTGATTATCTATCTATCTATCTATCTATCTATCTATCTATCTATCTATCTATCTATCTATCTATCTATCTATCTATCTATCTCGATCTGTCCGCAAACCCACAAAGAAATCAGTATAAATAATCTTATACACTCTTTTGTGCGTTTTGGGTTTTCTTGTTGCTTTCTTATGCTATTAATCATTAAAAAAAAAAAAATTCTGCTTCGGGTGATACTGCTTCCTTCCTTGTAGACTAATTATGTTGTATTACGGATGCTCTCTGAATAGCCAGTGTGTATACGACGAGTATTAATAATATTCTGACCCCTTATACTTCAGTAGTCTGAATTCTCGATAATATTGTAGTTAGGCAACATGATAGCCTTCATTATTGCATAATAAATGCTAGACAATCTGATATCATTTGCGTTTAGGTTTCAAATGCATCGCCACATCATTATATTCCTTCTTACATTACTAATACTAGAATAACTTTAGCCCTTGTGCAAAAAGTGCGACAAATCACGTTAGATATCTTTTGCCATTTCTATAAATACTTTCATGACAATTGTTCTGATATACTTTCCTCTTTTGTACACAGACTTTATGGATTTAAGCGCAGTACTATATTGGCGGCTAGGTCTCATCATTTTACAGTTGAAATAGCTAGATGTGACCGTAAGCTTTATGCTAATAGTATCTTCTCTTACAATTCATGCCAGTAAAACTCTCTTTTGACTTCTTTCCCATCAACTGATCTTCAAAAATTTAAATGAAATCTCCATCGTTATCTTTTGTCTTCTTAATACCTGTTCTTTTACTGTTCTCTTTCCTTAATAGTGTTTTATTTTTCTCCATATTCTCTCACACGAAGTAACCACTTGCGTCTTAGTGGCCTTATTAATTTGCTTGTGCGGGGATGGGGAATGATTCAAAATATTCTCACATTACAAATGCCACACAACATTACAGCATCTGCCTTTAAATGACGAATGCGACACAACGAATATAAAATTGGGATGGAAAAATTCATCTGCATGTAGAGCATACTTCAAGCTTTTGGCTTACAAACGAACACTTCTTTAGCTCCAGGGGACGCTTCTAGTATGATCAAGCGATTCCCGTATCTATCTATCTATCTATCTATCTATCTATCTATCTATCTATCTATCTTATACTGTGCATTAGCTATTTATCTATCAATCGATCGATCAATAGATCTCATACTATCTATGTATCTATCTATCCCATATTGTTCATTATCTATCTATCTATCTATCTATCTATCTATCTATCTATCTATCTATCTCATACTGTACATTAGTTATTTATCTATCAATCGATCGATTGATCGATAGATCTTATACTGTTTACTATCTATCTATCTATCTATCTATCTATCTATCTCATACTGTTCATTAGCTATCTATTTATCTATCAATCGATCGACATCGATAAATTCCTCAAAGACAAGATTAGGTCAAAGTGGAGTCGTTCTATTCTAACGGAATATTCAGATTGACCATTGTAAGGTAGCGGACATCCAGAAAAGATTCTTCGATGTCGGAATAATGATGGCATAAATTTCTGAAACATTTTGTCAGAAATAGACTGGGAACTATTGTAACAGTCTGATATGATGAAATAGAAAATTTAGCTGAAAGATGGCAAAAATTTACAAGGAACCTATGAAAACACTTTGCTAGCTGCATAATGTTAAGACGAATTTCTATGAATAAAATATGCGTTAAAAATTGATCTGGGAACATTTCTTTCAAATTAATATAATTGTTTTTATCAATTCACCCCAAGCAAGGCGATAATACCACTAAGACGATAGAGGCTAATATGATAGAAAGCGAATGAAAAGACTTTAGAATGAACCAAAAACTCAGTCCTATTCCGGAAACAAAGGATAAACCTCTACTCCTGTTAAAATGATTAGGGAGGAGTTCATAATGGACGATTGGCGGAGTTAACTACTCCCATAGAAGAAAAAATATTAAGCAGAAGCGTTAGAAGTATCGAGTTTAAGTAGTCTTTAGAAGGAACCGAAAACCCAATCCTAAACAAGAAACGAGGGATACACCTCTACTCCTGTTCGGGAGACCAGGGCGGAGTGTGAATTGGACAACAGAAGAACCTATCTAATCCTATTGAGGGAAAAACGTAAATAAAATTTCAGAATTTAAGCGTAGACATGTAAAGTATAGGATTGAAATTAAATTTACAAGTAACATAAAACCTAATAATAAACAGGAAACAAAGGATAAACCCTTAATCCTGTTCAAAAGATCGGGGAGGTGTGTGAACCGGGCAGTAGGGCTTCATATCTACTCTGTATAAATGTATTAGATAAAGCAGGTGTTTATATAACAAATAATGTTGAATTATACAATTGGTCGAAATTAGGTGTCACTTTGAAAATATAAACCATCTGACAACACATACAAATCCAAATACTTTCGCAAGTGTTAATATCGTAAAAAGCAATTTTGTCATTATTAATTCGCTCTATTAGTTCACCAAATAATGTATATAATTCCTTAGCTGAGAATGGCATAACGCCAAATTGGAAAGCCTCTGTGTCTTGAAACACCAGCATTCGAAATCCTGGCTTTTAATTCTGTTCTAACATCGACCATTAGCACCAGAAAGAGATGCGCAATTATTTTTGATAACTGACAGATGCAAAGATACATATGAAACCTTTCTTTGTGCCGTGGGAGGCGGGAAGTAGGAAGAGAAAGATTTCGTTGTGTTAATCAGTCCGGTTGCGTTGGCTTGCCAGCGTTTGAATTTCTGGATGTTAGCAAAAGGCTTCAAAACAGACCACAAATGCCCGTGGGAATTAAATAACTCTCTTACAGACGAAGCTGGCGAATATTTCCAACAGCTAAAACAATTCGTCTCTGCAATGAGAGAAGCTACATATTTAAATGACGTCTCATAATAAAATAATTTTTTTTTCAAGTCAGAGGAAATCAGATTATTGTCAATAATTGATGTTCCGCCGGAACATCAGGTCATTTTTATGGCAAACTGACAAATCCATTTTTTAGGGAAAAAAAACCCCATCCAGTCAGCAGTTCTGAATTCAGAATATAGAATTTGATACTTCGCCACTTAATCAGCCATGAAACCGCAAACAAGCAGTCATATATTTAGGTTCAGGCACAATACCTGTGGCATGCGGAATTCGACAACGTTGGGGAAATTCTTGTAAAATTGTTAATACAGCGCGAATTTATCAATTTGTCGTGGAAGAACTAGTTTCAAAATGTCGGTTTTATTATGAGACTCAAATTTATTTCAGAACAGTTAAAAATTTTAGCGGTTCACATTTGTCAAGTATAAGGCCCGATATAGGAATGGTGTTTTATCTATCTTGAAAATGAGTCTTACCTGTCTGCTTTGAAAATAAACTTTTGAAACTGTATCTTCTGTCTGGGCTCGCTATTCATTGATCCACCCACGAGGATTGAATATGGCACAAGGCCGGTTTAATGTGGGTATCTCCGAGCCCGTAGGCTCGGCCAAAAATATAGCCATTTTGAACCCGCCTAGACGGGTTCAGGCCCTGTCTACCTCCCCGGACGAAACCTTGCCCTTCGGCAAAGCTTCGTCCGGGTTCCTCTCTGCTAATGCAGAGAGTTCGACAGACGTCGCTTACAGTCAAAGACTGTATCACGACAGCTAGACTCGGAGGTCTGGCTCTTCTGTCTGGGCTCTGCTACACACAGTGGGCCCTTAAGGTGGTTAGAACGTTAGCCTTCCGATCATCATTCCTGAGTTTAAATCACCCTCACTGTCGGTTTGTCAGGGAGATTACTCCAGTGTACAGCAGCATTGGGAAGTACCTGAAAACCATACGACGGGAGGTCGACCCAAGTATTGTGAGTGAAATTAGGTGTCAGATGAAACTATTCGGAAGCCATGGCAAGCTTTGTGTTAGCACGAAGTCACAAATCATAGAAGCCGAGGGCCTGAGTGTACTGACCTGTTTCAAACTGATAATAACATCAGATTATTCGCTCTCTCCCTGAAAATGTAACGAATGTCAGGTCAGCATAATTGCAATATCAACCACAGGTTGGCTGTGGATCTTGAACAAAAAATGTATCTGAGCAGGGGTCTGCAACAGAGATTAGGCATATTCAGATACGAGAGGCCAGTCATAGTGGTGACCACGAGCAACAGTGCGTAATACGCAATAACTCACACACTAAATTGGTTATGTCGTCACCATATTTCACAGACACAGGTAAAAGACCCCCCCCCACCCCCGCCACCACAAAAAATAAAAAACAATTTATTATGTTATAATAACCATTTCCATATTTATTTTTTTCTGTCTGAGACAAATATATTTGTTGCGGTGGTCGTTGTGAACTTAATTTGAGGCGACAATTATTGAAACTTCAAAAGTGTCTATTTGCGTTGCTATACAGAGTCATATGAAATGGAATTTTAACACAGGCAAGCACACATTCTTTTTTAATCTGCAGAAATTTTCATAAGGTTTTGAAATGTATGTTTTTCGTTTGAGA